GCAGAAACCAGAAATCTAGAGTTGTTTGACCTTAAAGAGTCATTTCCAAGGGAGGCTTTAATCACATGACAAAGCGAGATAAGAATTCAATCTAAGCGAGTAGCGGAGTTTATACTTTGATTACAATGTCAGAACTGTGTTTCCTTCCCTTCATTCTATGGCTTGAGAGGATCCTTACAAATATATGGTCCACCCGCATTATTTCTGTATTTTTGTATGACCAGCTGAACTGGTTTATTTAAATGCTGCTCACTTAACATATACTAGCAATTAATACTACTCATATATGTCTATTTAAAGTTATCAGCTGGCATTAATGGTCCATTTGGTCAACAATAATGGAAATACTTTCTTAACTGTTAATCTTATTTTGTAGATTTGAGTTGCATACTACTGTCTCCTACATCATAACGCATGCATGCGCATGCATACACACATATATATATATATATATTTATATATTACTGATACTTTGGTGATAAATTGATAATCATAATCTCTTGATTCATCTTAATTCTTTTGTGTGTACGTAAAGAAAAGTGAATAGTATTTCTTTTTGGAGGTATCTTTTAATGAACAATTTTAAAAATGGAAGAAGCCAACAAGGAGGGTGGGTGAGGTTGGTCTGTTCGAGGCAGACCATAGTATTGCATTAAAGGCATAAACCTAGGAGTCACCACTGTTTCAATAATACCGATTACTTTCTTTCATTACTCATTTAAAACAGAAGAAAGCAAGTTTTTCATTTTTATTTCAGACCAAGAAATTTCACCATATGCTAGAAGTTTCTCAAAATGAGAACCAACTTCTCTTAGTTTTCACGAGAATAATTTCAAACATTTTGAGGTAATAAACTGTTTATTACACCAAAATATTTACAGTGAAATAAGGGTCTAGTCATAACATGGTACTCATGGCGCAATGGGAGTCCCTCCCACCATGCATCCAAATGAAACTTAAGTCTAATTCTTCAATTTGCAGTCCCATATGCATCTTTGCAATTATGACTTCATCAAAATATTATTATCATTCAGAAGCAGTTTCAAAATCTCCAATCTCAAGCAAGGCCTATGCCTAAGTTCCTTAACCATAATAATATTGCTAATTGTAGTCCTCCCAATTTCATATGGTCAAACGGATATATCCAGAAGACTCATATAACAATTATAAAAGAGCTGTTTCTCAACTACTTGTTTATTGTAAGAAGAAATTTCACATTGTTTTAGCCGAATTTCTAGCCAAATTCCCTTCTGATAAACACAAACGCTTGCATTTAAACATATAGACATGGATAGAAGATACTCGTTCCTTTTGCTGGCCCTAGCTCTAGCATTCATTTCCCTGGAAGCTGGCTATGCTCAAGGTCAGGGCAAAGGAAACAACAAGAAGGCACCCTATGATGCTGCTTCAACGCATTATGAGGTATTGAAACCAAGCAACAAAGGAGAGGAAAGAGTTCTGTGTCAAGCAAGAGGAGCTTGTCATGGGAAGATACTCACATGTCCGGCTCAATGCCCAGAGAGGAAGCCCAAGAAGAACAAGAAGAATAAAGGATGCTTCATTGATTGCAGTAGCAAGTATGAAGTAACATGCAAATGTAAGTCTCTTACTTCTATGTTCTGCTTCTATCCTGTTCAAAGGAATTGTTTCGCAGCAATGTCTTTTTACGAAATTATATATATGCTGATAAATTTAAGACGTTTTGACAGGGAGAAAACCAAACTGTAATGGTGTGGCTCTCTCTGTTATGATCCAAGATTTGTTGGTGGTGACGGAGTTATGTTCTACTTCCATGGAGCCAAGGGAGGAAATTTTGCCATTGTGTCAGGTGATAACCTCCAAATCAATGCACACTTCATTGGAACGCGGCCTGAATGAAGGACTCGCGACTACACATGGGTGCAAGCCTTGGCTGTCATGTTTGACACTCACACTCTCGTCCTCGCAGCAAAGAGAGTCTCTCAATGGGATGACGGCTTTGATGCTCTCACTGTAAGATGGGACGGCGAGGCAGTTAACATCCCCACTGATGCAGAGGCTGAATGGAGGACTTATTCTGAAGAAAGAGAAGTGGTAGTAGAAAGAACAGATGATACCAACAGTGTTAAAGTGACAGTTGCAGGGCTGGTGGAATTGAATGTAAAGATTAGAGCTATTGGAGAACAAGAAAACAAGGTTCACAACTACCAATTGCCAGCTGACGATGCTTTTGCCCATTTGGAGACATAGTTCAAATTCACCAATGTAACCCACCTCGTGGAAGGAGTGTTAGGCAAAACTTATAGGCCAGACTACGTTAGCCGTGTGAAAAGAGGTGTTCCAACGCCGATGATGGGTGGGGAGGACAAATACCAAACAGCATCCCTCTATTCCCCTCTATGCAAAGCTTGCAGGTTTAAAGGACAAGGCGGTTTTGCTTCCATCTAAGAATTATATACCGATTAAAATAAACAACGTACATTTTAGTATTGAAATTAATGCTAGTAAGGGCTAGACTTTGCCCATGACCCCATTATTTCAAACAGATATATACAACTTTTTATTGTTTTCAACGATCTAAAATTAGTTCTTTTTATATACATATGCATGGATCAACAGCCTTTTGCCATGTCATACCTTCCAGCCCCTTATCTGGAGAGTTGGCATGGATCAAATGTCTGTCTGACTAGGACAAGTGATGTGCTTAGTCAAGATAAATGACGTACATATGGCATTATAGGACAAGTGGCTAAATGACATTTCTAAAAACTGCTTGAAATATTCTTCTTGTGAGCCTTCTAAACTCAGCCTTGTGATGGGTCACTTAGTTATTGGATTACATACCTTAAAAAATTAGAATGTTAATCCCTACTGTTGTAAACATGTATTGGCTAATGGCTATGGCAATTTCTTTTAAAATTAGGCAGAATGGGTGTTCTCGGCTCTATTATGGGCTATTTTCTTGGTTTTCGTGGCTGGGCTTGTTGTGCCGCTCTTGTTTCTTTTCTGGTCTTTCCTTGGGCTATTAGCTTGTGTGGTCAGTTGCTGGGCTCTCCTCTCCCACTTCCCAGCTCTTGTTTCTTAGCTCAGCTCTACTGCTCCGTCAATTGCTCCCACTCTATTCGCCGTCAATTCTGCTTCTTACGCTCCAGCAAACCGAGCCCTTCCTCCGACCACCGAAGCGGTGTCAGGCGGATGACCTCCGCTCATCAACTTGGTTCTCATCTCAGTTTTTCTCTATTTCGTAGCTGCCTCTCCTCTTAGCTCCCTTCACACTTCTCATGTGGGTTAGTTTATCAAATTTTTTTCACTTACACTCCCTTTTTCTTGTTCTCAGATTCTCAAGTTATTTGCTTTAATTATTAAACTGAATATCAAGATGGAAGCAGTTTTTCATGAATTCTATGGGAGTTAGTTTCTTTCCATAATCAGCGCTACTTCTCCTCCTTTTCAACCTCATTATCTTCGCTTCCATGGATCTCCCCTCTTCAATTCCTAAAACCCAACTCCTAAACAACCAGATCCTCCTCCTGAAACCTCAACACCTTTATGGAATCTAAAAGGGACCAATATTTGCATGCCAGTGTTTTTGTCGGCCAAGTGCCAACCAACATCTATGGTTTATTGTACTAATCTGTCGAAGCAACACATATGGGCTTGTATTCGACAAAGAAGCAAGTTCAAACTGAGCCTAGCTTGCTTGGCTAGGGGCCTCAACTCCTATCTAATATCCAAAGAAAAGCGAAAACAGTTTTAAAAGAGATATTTCAGCAATTAAGAATTCAGTAATTGATATATGTATTTGATTGCAAATGCAATAATAATAATAAAATTAAATATGATAGTCACAGCCTCATTAAAAATAATTTATTATCTTAAATAAAATTGTTTTATTTTTTTAATTTTACATCAAATGACAATCGATTGCCTAATGATCCACCATTGGACCCTTCCTCTTCCAGTTGGTGAGGTGATGCAGTTGGGAACCCCCATTTGCATCGGTGGATGCTATCCAAATGTATTAGAGAGTAATTGAGAGTCAAAGCCTCTGATTCAATACGATGCAATCCAAATGAAGCTTAAATCAAAATCTTAAATTATGCAACGTTCATTTAGGGACAAAAGAGCGTTGTTGCCTACGATTAGATAGCCTAAAAATTAATGAATCTTCTTATATGGTATGTGCATAAAATTAAAAAAAAAAAGGATTAAAAAAATGAGAGGAAAGAGAGGGTAAAAGAAGGAAAAGGCAGCATAATTCATAGCTGGATCGTCATCGTCCTCAATCGATCTGAAGATGGAAATAAAGGGTCCACAAGGAGCCCGCAGCGTTGACATTAGCAATTAGGCAATGGATAACATTCATGGGAAAGGACCCGATGGCCCCAACTGACGAACCACCAGCCATTTTCCATTAAATTTATCCATTGAACCTAGTTTCTAGAGGTACGCAATGGCAATCAAAACCAAAGTATTTGGCCCAAAATATCCATACAAGTAAATGCAAAGCAATCATTGACCTCTTTATTTGTCCACTCATCCACTCCAATTCCCCCTATGTTTTTCCTGCTTTTCCAAGCAATCTAGTAGCTCTAGCAGTGTCATCAATTTCTCTCTCCCTCTCTGTCTCCATTCATTTCCTCCCACCTTTCCAATGAAATAAAAACATTGCTTTTACCCTCTCTCTCTCTCTGCCTCTCCATTCATTTCCTCCAACCTTCTCAATAAAATAAATGTTGAGTTGCTAAAGTTAATAACTATGTTTTTGCTAACTAACCTTCAACCTTTTACCTAATTTCACTCTAAATTGGATAATTTTAAGCAAGATATACAAAAATCATTTGAAAAATGTTTGCAAAAGTAATATGTTTTCTTAAAAAATAAAAGATACCATTTAAAATTTTAATAAAAGTTATAAATGAATATAACATAAATTGTACTATAATAATTTTATATTTTCTACCAAATAAATAGTATACACAATTACCTTACCTACTTCATTCTCTCCTCTCCTCAATAAAAGCCCCTCTTCATTTCTCTTCCTTCTAACACATCCAAACATTTTGTGGAAGGACGACCACTTCTCCTCACAATCCCCACCCTGATCTTACCTTCCTTTTTGCATTGTTTTGTTGCAAAAGCAACAATTTTCCAAACGTCACAAAAGGAGCTACAACGATGATGATAGTGAAGCAACATTTGATCTTGAGTCTCTCATTTCTCCTTCTCTTTTTCCTCCATTGCTCAAAAACCTTAGCTCAAGCTCCGGCTCAGGCTCCGGCTCAGGCTCAGGCTCCGGCTCAGGCTCAGGCTCAGGCTCCGGCTCCGGCACCGCCCGGTCCCACTAATGTCACCAAAATCCTTGAAAAAGCCGGTCAATTCACCGTCTTCATTCGCCTTATGAAAGCAACCCAAGTCGCCAACCAGCTCCTTGGCGAGCTCAACAATTCAAACAATGGTTTGACCATTTTTGCACCAACAGATAATGCTTTCTCAAGCCTCAAATCCGGTGTCTTGAATTCACTCAACGATGAACAACAGGTGGAGCTGGTGCTATTTCACGTAGTCCCAACATACCTCTCATCAACCCAATTCCAAACTGTTAGTAACCCTTTGAAAACAAAAGCTGGAGATAGTGGTGATGGTAGGTTTCCTCTGAATGTCACAGCTTCAGGAAACATAGTCAACATAACAACAGGGCTGACAAACACCAGTGTTTCTGGCACTATTTACACTGATGGTCAGCTTGCTGTTTATAAAGTCGATCAGGTTCTTAAGCCTTTGGCAGTATTTGATCCTAGGCCTCCAGCTCCAGCACCTGCACCGGCAAAGTCAAAGAAGAAGAACGCTGCAGCTGTTGCTGATACCCCAGCTGATAACTCCAAAGCTGTGAGCCTCACCATGCAAAATGTAGTTTTGTTTGGAGGTGGTGCTATAGTTGTTGCACTTTCTTTTTTACCATAAAATAAACAAAGGGGAAAACAAAGTAATTTTTTAATCGAGTGGTCTTTGATTTTCGATGGGTTGGATTTAATGGTGATGATCAAGGAGGTGAGTGCATTTTTTTTTTTCTTTTTGTCAATAATTACCAGTTAAATTCCTGTTCTATCCTATTTGTATCATGCCAGTCTATGATGAGAGTCACCTGCTATCAAGATTGAGTTTTGAGGGTTTTCTTATTATTTATTTTTTTTTCTTTTAAACTTTTCATTGTAATGATCTCTCTTTCTTAATTTCTCCCATGTAATTGTGAATTTTGTGGCACTTTTTTCTTTTTGAAGCTTTTCATTATTGGAATTGTATGTCATTGATTTCCTTTGAAGTCAACAATTCTCCCTTGCATCGCATCATTTCCCGGTAGAGACGAAGCCCAGCAAGAAGATATTATGAAAATCGAACACTGTAGCATACAAAATGAAAAATAAACTATTAGGCATTCTAGGAAGGAAGTACGTAGAAAAGCTTTTCGAAATTGATATGCCAAAATTTTAAATCCATTGAATTTATTTCATATTTTTATTTTAGAAAAGAAAAAGAAAATGGACGTTTTCTAGAATAAAAATGAAAATGGACATTGAACTTGAATTATATGCAACGATCAATAAATTTGGTATAAGTATCAATTATAAATATTGTTTCATTGTATAAAAAATAATCAGAGGATCTTTACTGATTCATCATAATTATATATTGAGTTAATTGCATTTTTTTAAACTTATAAATTAATATTTAAAGAAATAAAATATATAATTTACACCATAAACTTTCAAATAATGTATTATTTTGATCTAAATTATAATATTATTAGCTTAATTAATTTATATGATATCTAACCAATATAATTTTGTTATATGCATATTATTTGTCAAATAAAAATATTAAATATTTTATAAAAACATTTATGTGCATGTCACATAATAAAAAATAATTGATCGGTCCTAAAATTTTTTATGGTTCTAGTAAAAAATATATATTTGTTAATGCATATTAAAAAAAATGTTAATAATATATATTGTGAATACATAATTTGATAATATTTGTCAAACATTGTATATATAAGCTCATATGATTAACAAGATTATTTAGTTAATATGGTACATAATTTAAAAATTTAGATACAAATTGTATATTTTATTTTTTTAAATATCAATTTGTATATTATTTTAAAATTAAAATACAAAAAATGTAATTAATTTTTATATATTTTAGTTACAATAACTCACAACCCGCAAATAAAAACAATTAGTGACTGGCCCGCTTTTGCATGATAAATTTTTTTAACATCAATAAATTATAAAAATATAAAATTAAAGAGTATAACTTAATTATCATCTATATATACTTGACATAAAAAAGCACTTCATATTTACAAAAAAAAAAAAAATTGTAATTTATATGTAAAAATAAATTAATGATGGAATATTAAATTCTTTTTCATAGAATGAAACTTAATTTATTTAAATTATGTTTGATAAAAATAATAAATCATAAAATAAAAAATAACTCGTAAGACATAAGTCATAATATCATTTAATTTAATTTTTTTTCTATCACTTAACCATCATAATATTTTTTTAGTAAATAATTAAAATTAAAAATGTTCTAATTTTTCTAGATTCAGCATTTGGATTGCATAGAAGAAGAGGGTTGCATACCTTGTCATTTTATAGTCTAAGATTTTTGTATGTCCATTGTGATTGCTTGTTCTTTGTCCTTTTTTTTTTTTTTTACAAAGAAAATTAAAGCTTAAAGATAATTGAATAACCAAAAAAAAATTTGCACGCATTAAAATTTAAACTCATATTTATTAAGTCCTCTTGACGATAACTTTTACAATGTGTTTGGATTCAGGGGAGAAGAGGGAAAAGAAAGTAAAGTAAAGTAAAGGAAAGTAAAGGAAACAAAATCCTCTCATCTTGTTTAGATAAATTTTTAATTTAAAGAAAGAAAAAGAGGTGAAAACCAAATAACCTTTGGTTTTCCTTATAAATCTAATTTTTTTTAATACCTCAATTTAGAGAAAAAGGCTAGAGAAAGGAAAGTTGAATTTTTTTTTTTATAAAAAGATTATTAGATCCATCTTTTTATTAATACTAAAAACCTAATAAAAAAATCTAAGTAGATCACAATCATCCTATAATTTTTTCAAGGTCATCTCTTTTTTCAAGTAAGTTTCATATATATATATATATATATATATATTCTAATATAAAAATTTTTTATAATTTTTTAGTAACTTGATTTTGATGAATGGTTGAATATGAATAGACATTTTTTGGGTTTATGAGATGTCAGATTAACTTAAAAATTTTTATTATAATAATTAATATATGTGAGTAATTAATAAATATTAGTATTATTATTAGTAGTATGTATGATTTATTGTTAAATGTCTTATGTCTCAAAATTCTCTAATTCAAATTTGTTTTAATATTATTTCCTTTCATACAAGTGTTAGTGTATTTATTTTTACAATAATAATAACTACTATTAATATTTTGCTGTATAAATGGATAAACAAAGAAATGAGACCATTGATATAGCAGCAATTGTGAGGTTAGATAAGATAGTAAACATATCATGATCCAGAGTACTCTAAAATCATAGGCAATGAAAGGTTATAATTGAAAAAAATTATTATAATGAATTATTTTCTTTATTTTTCACTATTTATCCAAACAATAGTTGTTAAAATTCCTTTCCTTTCATTTTTTTTCTTTTAAAAACCTTTTTCTTCCTTTCATTTATTAATATTTATCCAAACATAATGTTAAAAATTTTAATCAATATAACCATTGTGTTTTGGCCAAAATTTTTTTTACAAACATCTCACAATCAATAAGAGGCCTAGGTTGAGGAATGTTAGGCCCATTATTTCCCAAGCATTGTAGCCTGGTGACGGTCCAACTACTCTCTGTATAGGTAAAAAAAATTACTCAATTCCTCAAATTATAAGGTCAAGCATTTGATGCTAATGTTAACAAAAATATTACTAGATTCGAACCTAAAATCATTTATATATAAAAAACCTATTAATTAAACTAATCCTTTGTTGTTAGATGAAATAGGTTACTTAGTATTTCAAATTATAGAAGTCATGCATTTAAAACTATTGTCAATACAAAAAAGCACTAAATTCAAAACCCAAAATCTTTTATGTAAAAACGAAAGAATTTATTAATTAAATTAATTTTTTGTTGTTAGAGGTAAGCCTTTAAGGGTATAAAAACAAGCCGCTAAAACAATACTGTTAAAAATAGAAAACTAAAGAGTTAGGTTCCAATACCTAACTACTCAATAATAGATGTATATATTTCGTGACAAAATTTTGATTCAAATCAATTTTTTGAAATTAAACAATAAAATAAAAAAAGTCTTAAACATAGTTGTCGTAATAGTTTTGTGTCTGTCCGACAAATTTGAAAATGAAATAAAAACATAACGGAGTCGTCACCGATATTTTTTGGCTAGGTGCGATTGGCTACCTATTAAAATTTATCCTTTTAATAAAATTAATTAAAAAGATAATTTTATGATATGTGAAACAATCTGAGTTCGGGAGTCGGTTATGTGTAGGGAAGGGTTAGCACCCCCACAACACCCGTTTAAAAATGATACCACTTAACTACGTGTTATCCTATGATTTTAATAAAAACAGTCTTATTTTTTGTGTTTGAAAGATAATTTTCTTATTTTTTCATTTATTGGGAATTGGTTTTTATAATTATGTGCTCGAATTTTATTCGAGAAAAATATATTAGAACCCTTTTATCAAAATAATTCTTAAAATATTCTAGTACATTGGTAACATTAGAAAAACCTTTTCTCATATAGAGATTTCTTAGGCATCACTTCTTGGAATACCTTAAAATCTCATCCTTGGGGACTCAAATGTTACCATGTTGATGCACACATTTTATTCTTTTTTTTAGAAATTTTTGTAATTTTTTAAAATATTTATTATTATTTTCATTTAAAGAATGAAAAAAAGAGTAATTTTTATTATATTAAAGATTTCCTATAAATATTTTAATATACTGGTAATATTTAAAAAAATCTTCTCACCTAAAGATTTTTTTAAAGCATCTCTACTCGGAATACTTTTAAAATCCAATCATCAGATAAAATTTCTATTTTTTCATTTTTTATTACTTATTCTTAATTTATTAATTAGTTTTTATTTATTATTTTATAAGAAAAAAAAATTTATTGTATTGAAAATTTTTTGTAAATACTCCAATACACTGATAGTATTTTAAAAAAAATCTTCTCACCTAAAGATTTCGTAGGTATCACTACTCGGAGTACCTTTGAATCTCTTTGTCAGATAAATTTTTTTTTCTTATTTTATAAGATTTATTTTAAAAATAACAAAATTATCAAAATTTTTTACTATATATTTCATTATTTATTTTTATTTGTTAATATTATAAAATAAAAAAATTTATTTTAGCAAATTTAAACATTTTAGCATGCATAAATATTAATAAAAAAATTTAAAATAACAATAATAATACTTTTAAAAAATAAAAAAATTCAAAAAAAATTTTTTTTTACCTGAATTGGATCGATCAATGGTCTGACGGTCTGATCGCTTTTAGCGGTTCAGTGCGATCTGGTTTAGTCTAGGTGATTCGACAGTTCAGCGCGATTTGGTTCAGTCTGGTCCGATTTATCTGGATCGATCAGGGTCAAAGGGTGAGTCGGGTTAGTGGGTTGGGTGCGCGAACCCCAAGTTGGGTCACGGGTTGATGCGTAGATCCTTAAGGGCTTAAAACGACGTCATTTTGGGGTTTTATTGAAATGATGTCGTTTTGGCTTTGGTAGTTTGTATAAAAGGCCTAAAATTTTCTTTTGTCATTTCTTCCCTTCTCAGAAAAAAAACCTCTTCTCTTCCTTCTCAGCCCAAGCGCAGAGGGGGTCAATCGGTCGATGTCCTGTCGTCATCGCCGTTGCTTTGACCACCGATCGATTGTCGAAAAATATCAAAAAATACCAAAATGTTTCCTTCAACCCTCTCTTGCCAGATCCGAACTCTTTTTCATAAAAAACAGCCCCGATCGACATAGATCGGGGTTTAAAGTTTCGATCTCTTTTTTTTTTTTAAACTAAAAGTAACTATTTTTTTTTGTTTCTGCAGGTGTTGCTTAGGGATGGGTTCCTCACCAAATGACGGGGACTGTGATTTTTGTTTGAAATTTGTTTTTGGTAGAAAGAATTTTTTATTCTGAAAACTCTTTTTTTCTTTTTTTGCAGGATATCTT